GCGTTTACGGATTGTTCTCTGCCATCAGCCTAAAAATTGCGACAATAAAAAAAAACAAGGAAATTTTTAACAGACACATGGTGACATTGCAGGCTCGTTCGACCTAACCTTTAAGCACGCTGGCAGTCAAACGAGGAGCCGAGGTGTAATTTAATTGTTGACGCAACTTTGGTAGAAGATACTTGACAGATGACTTGGAGATAAACCGATAACGAAACATTGTCGAGCTGTCGTTTTAACAAACGATTGGGTAAGCATTCATTTACGTCGGTTTTCATCTTAATTACGGAGCAACACCAGTGTCTATTGCCGCGAACGTTGCATCATGCGTTGAAAGTGACTTCGATCAGACTGCAATTAACTTAATCGGCGATTCCTTCATCCGTCGAGCGCGCTTCGGATAATTTTCGTACACAAAGCAAGCCGCGCCAAGTTTCTGCCGCCTAATAAATAAAAGATTAGGTTAGAAACGTGGGGGATTACAGTTCGACGTTTCTGCCGGTCCAAGTCACCCCAGGGACTGCCTCGTAGCCGCGAGCTGGTATTCCCAATTAACGTTCGCCATCCTGAAATTTGTCATCACACTTTCTTTCATGTAACGCAGAGTCTTTCCCTTTTCCGATCGCTATCGTGCTGGAACCTGGAAGGTGGAGTGTCCGTCGGTGATAGAGTTTTGTCGTAGTCGAGCTTCGCGCATGTAATTTAAGTCCGTTTGTGAACGTTCAAGAGTGATCGGTAAGTGTCGTTACGCTTGAAATGCCACAAAACAATTTTCATCTTGCCTCTGGCGTGAGACTTATCATTCTTCGAAATTATACACAACTGACAGGCCGCCTTGTATCATTTCCAGACACAGCTTTGTTCCCCGGACCGTTTTAAGTCGCCCCCCGAGATGCTGGGTGCGTTGAAATTGTCGAGGCACTCGCTGCTGCGAGGCGCAGCCCTGCGGCAGCGCGTCGCGCGCTGCACCTTGCGGTCGTCGTCGAATGCCGCATCGAGCGCGCTGCTCTCGCGAAAGGAGCCGGCGCCGAACGAGCTGGCCAAGTTCAAGAAGGGCGAGGTCCTCCACGGGTTCGTAGTGGACGAGGTCTCGAGCATAGACGAGCTGTTCCTCACCGCGGTGAGGCTGACGCATCTGAGCACGGGCGCGCAGTACCTGCATCTGGCCAGGGACGACGCCAACAACGTGTTCTCCATCGGTTTTCGCACGACCCCCACGGATTCCACGGGGCTGCCTCATATACTGGAGCACACGACGCTGTGCGGCAGCGAGCGGTACCCGTGCAGGGATCCGTTCTTCAAGATGCTGAGGCGGTCCCTGGCCACGTTCATGAACGCCATGACCGGGCCGGACTACACCATATACCCGTTCTCGACGCAGAACCTGAAGGACTACCGCAATCTGCAGTCGGTTTACCTGGACTCGGTCTTCAAGCCGAATCTGCGAGAGCTGGACTTCCGGCAGGAGGGATGGAGGCTGGAGCACACGGACGTCAACGACAAGAGCTCGCCCATCGTATTCAAAGGGGTGGTCTTCAACGAGATGAAGGGCGTGTTCAACGACAATCAGGCCGTTATGGCGGAACGCCTGTTGAATTCTATTCTACCGAGCCACACGTACTCCGTAATCTCCGGCGGCGATCCCCTTGTCATACCTAATCTGCAGCACGACGATCTTGTCAACTTCCACAGGAAGTACTATCATCCCTCCAATTCGCGCTTTTACTCCTACGGCAATTTCCCGCTGGAGGACCATCTGAAGTTCATCAACGACCGCTACCTCTTCTTGTCCGACCGGATTGACGCCTCCATGTCGGAGGTGCCAGCGGAGAAGCGATGGAGCGAAGCTAGGGACGAGCACATCGCGTGCAAGCCCGATCCGCTGCTCGCGGATCCCAGCAGGAACGGCGCCATCGCCATCGCGCACCTGTGCAACGACATCACCGACCTGCAGACAACCTTCGAGATGTACGTGCTGTCGCAGCTGTTGCTGAAAGGCCCGAACTCGGCGTTTTACAAGTCGCTAGTTGAATCGAATATAAGCACCGGCTTCGGCTCGATCACGGGCTTCGATCCGCAATGCCGGGACACCATGTTCGTCGTGAGCCTGCAGGGCGTGAAGCCGGAGGACTTCGGGAAAGTCAAGAGTATCTTCGACAATACCGTGCAGAAAGTTGTCGAGGAAGGATTCGAGAAGGACCACGTCGAGGCTGTCTTGCACAGCATCGAGCTCCAGGTGAAGCATCAAACGTCAAATTTTGGATTGAACTTGCTCTTCAACCTAACGTCGACGTGGAATCACAACGGCGATTTGATTAAGTCGCTGCGAATCAACGACATGGTGCAGAAATTCACGTCGCGAATGAGAGAGGATCCCAAGTATCTGCAAAGTTTGATCGAGACTTATCTCAGCGACAATCCTCATAGACTGACGTTAACGATGACGCCCGACGAAAAGTACGAGCAGAACAAAGCGCTTGCCGAGCAAGAGCTGCTGAGGACGAAGCTGGAGAAACTTTCCGCGGAGGAGAGGGAACGGATATACGAGAACGGGAAGATCCTGCTCGCCGAGCAGCAGAGTGTAGAGGACGTCGGAGTCCTGCCGACATTGAAGGTAGAAGACTTGAAGGCGGACGTGGAGAGATACGAGACCTCCGACTCGGAGGTGTCCGGGGTGCCTCTTCAGGTGTCCGTGCAACCGACGAACGGGATCTCCTATTACCGAGGAATACTCAACACGCAGGCGCTGCCGAGCGAGTTGAAGCAGCTTGTGCCGCTGTTCAACTACGTTGTCGCGAGGATGGGCACGCAGAATCACGATTACAGGAGTTTCGATCAGATGATGGAGCTGAAGACCGGCGGCCTGCACTTTGCGAATCACATCGCCGAGCAGAAGGACAGCGAGCTGAAGTACGAGGAGGGAATTGTCGTAGACTCGTACTGCTTGGATCGCAATTCGAACGACATGTGGAAACTGTGGACGGAGCTGTTCAACAACGTTAAACTGACCGACCTCCAGAGATTCGAGACGCTCGTCAAGATGAAAGCGGCTGACTTGATCAACGGTATCTCTCAGTCCGGTCACTTGTACGCGATGAGCAGCGCCGCCAGCCTCATCTCCCCGATCGCCCGGGCCAAGGAGAGCCTCTCGGGATTACAGTACATCACGAGGATGAAGAAAGTGGCGCAGATACGCGACTTGACTCCCCTGATGCACAACATGCAGGAGATAGCCGATCACGTCTTGAACAAGGAACGCCTGCGATCGGTCATTAACTTGTCCGCGGAACATCGGGACGACGTTCTCGGTGGTATCCACGCGTTCTACGATTCGCTCAGGGGACGCTCGGAGAATCCGCACGTCATCACCAGCGAGCGGAGCATCGACGCGAAAGAATGCGGCAATCACTACGTGCTGCCGTACACGGTCAACTATTGCTCCAAGGCTGTTCTCACCGTTCCCTACTCCAATCCGGACTATGCCGCGTTGCGTGTGCTGTCCAAGTTGATCAGCTCGGTGTACCTGCATTCGGAGATTCGAGAGAAGGGAGGAGCCTACGGCGGAGGCGCGAAACTAACGTCGGAGGGAATTTTCTCCTTTTACTCCTACAGAGATCCGAACTCCACTCGCACCTTCGACTTGTTCGACGGGACGTACGATTTTCTAGTCGCATACTCGTTGCCCCAGAGCGATATAGACGAGGCGAAGCTGGGAATCTTTCAACAGATCGACGCTCCCGTTCCTCCTAGTAGCCGAGGCCTGACCAGATTCCTATACGGCATCACGGACGACGATCTTCAAAGACAGAGGAAGCAGGTGAAAGCCGTGACTAAGGAGCAGCTCTTGCGCGTGGCAGAGAAGTATCTGAAACCCGACCAAAGCGATGTCAGAGTAGGTCGTTCGCTTATTGGACCTACAAATCCGGATCTTTCAAGTAGGCACAAAGAAAACTGGCTAGTGATGAATCAGGAAGAAGCGGACCGAGCGCGAGCCTCTGACTAAATAGTCAAAATATAATTTGTATTTTCACGATGAACGTTTTATGTTGAAACAACGCGAGACGTGTTGCTACTGTTAAGTGTTTCCTGTGACATAGATATTAGACATGGAAGAAACGATGCGTACGTTACTTATGTGCTAATGGCTGATTTCCGTTTAGAGAACACAATCGACACATATGTCGCTTTCCATTTAGAATTTGTTTCAAATTCAATCGACACTTTTCGACTCTGCTCGGAAGAAGAGTCGGAGTGTTTTTGTCCGAAGAACGCATCCGCTCCAAGTATTTCGATAGAACCTTTTTTTCAACCAAACCTTTTCTTCAAATCTTTGCCACTTTACAGTGGCAAGGTGCGTTAATTTGCGTCGATTTGTGTCTCCTAAAAGGAAAGCAGCCAATGTTAAGTATTATAATTTATGCTATTTTTGTACATTAAATATATCTCATAGTTGCGAGATTAAAAATATTTTGCTTAATTTATTTCCTACTTTCATTCTTACATACACACGCCTACATAATACATACCGAATTAAATATTTGCCGCGAGCTTAAAAATGTAACGAGCTCTTTTCTTTTTTAGTCAAGCATGGATATCAATGCTGAGACGAAATATTTTTCCGAAGCACTGTGCTTCTTTCACGAGACGCGATGGCTCCATAATACTCCAGTAACTGAAATATTAACTAAAGCGTCTTTAGATGCGATCCCTAATGAATGGATGAAACACTTGCAAACTTTAGAAAATGAAGAACTTAATAATTTCGTAGTAGAAAATGCAATAAAGGTTAGTCGAGATATCTCAGGAATCTTGTGTAATGAATTATTAAAATTATTAAACGGCAATTAATTCTTCTAGTCCGACTGGCCTGATTCTTTAAAAACATACGTTGCAAAATGTAAGGGGATTAATAGACTGTCACCTGTGCCCGCATTATCTTCCGCAGAGCTGCCGCAAAATTTTAAAATAGGTCTTAATACAAAGAAGCAACACGAGATAATGCACTTGGCTCACTTGGTGGGCGTGCAATGCGAGCGGCATGATATACGAACGATCGTTGACTTGGGCGCGGGTTTGGTAAGAAAATGAAAATGGAAAAAAAAGGTCAAACGTCAGACCCCCTTTCTTGTGCTGCAGTAAAAATATGTTTCTTTCTAGGGATACGTGTGCCAAATGTTACATTATTTGCACGGCTACCGAGTCTTGGGATTGGAGAGAGACAAAGGAAATATTAGCAGAGCTCTTGCTAGACAGAAAAAATTGTATCCCGATTCCTTGACTAAAGTTAAATACGTTCATTGCGACGTAACGTGCGATTCGGCCGACGCGATAGAATCTATTCTGCAGCAAGAGTTTCCCGACGTTGCAGACGTGTGTCTGATCGGCCTGCACGCCTGCGGGGATCTTAGCACAAGTGCATCGAGAATCTTCTGCAGAATGAGATCCGCTAAACTTTTCATTCTGATCTCGTGTTGTTACCACAAACTCTCCATTTTCAAAAGTGTGCAGACTTCGTCGCAGGAAAAACAATACTTTCGCAATTTCCCGACGTCCAACTGTCTGCGAGAGACAATCGCGGCGCACGATCTTGACGTAGGACAGTTTTTGAGAATACCCTTCTTGCGATTAGCGTGTCAAGAATCGGCGGACAAATGGCACGGAATGTCCCGAGAGAAGCACGACGACCATTCCTTTCACGTTCTCGCTAGAGCCGTCCTCGAATTATACGCGCGACAAAGTAGGCGTCTAATATTATACAGCGTATGTACATTCCCACGAATTAACTGATCCGGAAAATGTGTTTTAGACAATTACGTTCTCAAGAAAAAAGTTCGGAAAGGCACGAGGAAGTCGCAATGCTCGAATTTTCAGACTTACGTCAAAGACTCGTTACTAAGATACGATTTCGTATCAAATACAGACGGGACAGGTAACTGATGTTACAAATCAATACTTATACTTAGACTAACGTTTTTACACAATTAATAGACGATTAAAAAAACGATCACGTATACAGATGCAATTGCACGAGATGAGATTGAGAAGGGCATAACGCGAATATGGGAGGAACAGAGTAGTAACTTAAGGGCCGTAGAAATCTACACAGGATTGCAAATGATGTTACAACTTCCGGCGGAGTCGCTCATTTTACAGGATCGATTGTGCTGGTTGTACGAACAAGGCTTACAGGCTGCCACTGTGCCAGTGATGAACAAGTGTATTTCTCCTCGCTCGTACGCCATCGTGTCAAAGAAACACTAAAATTGATCACAGCATGTGTTATTTTAATAAATATAGAGTACAATATAATTTATTAAGTTTTAAAACTATGGAATTTGTGGAGAAGCAACCAGTAACATGCAAGTTGAGAATATATTTAAAATACTCTCGTAATAAGAGATGCTATTCTTAATAACCGCATGCGATTTTCATTACGCCTTGTATCAAGATCATAGATTACCTAATCGGATTATATTAAAATTACTCCGTATGAAAGTTAGGAACGTACCGCTATGTGGACAGTTGTCGGTCACAATCATCCTACAATGCATTTTAAACGACAGAGGTGTCACTCTTATCTGTAAGGGTGGATTTGTGATGCTGCCTTGATATTCGTTTTGATTGCACTCGGTGCCTTGTTCATTTGCCCCACTGTAAATTGTTACGTTAAAATTATTACGAGCATATAATTGCGGAGGCAACAAAACGGCAATCTTGAGCGAAATACACACTCGGTGGATTCCCCAGTGGGCCCTGACCCGTCGTTTGCTGCTGATTGCCAGGTCTGCCTACCATCATGCTGTTGGCTACCGGATTTACGCCGGATTGGACCATTTGTATCGAATCAGACTGCGAGGGTGAAATAAAGACCACATGTTACACATCTGATAGCGATATTATAACGGCTCTTTCAAAAACTCAGCTACGCTCCTTTCCTATGACTTACTTTCAGGCCTTTTCCCATTCCTACAGCCGCCAGCAGGGCATGGGTGTCCGCAGCACTGCTAGTCTGCGCCTGTGTCGCTCTGGTGCTGACCTCGCCCTCCCAGTCTTCGCGCGCCTTATTCGCTATGTCCCACACGTGGCTAATCACTTTAGTGTACTGTGCCAGTTGTTTCTGCAACCCAACAGAAGCACGCGAGATACTTAGTGAGCGGCAGAATCTGCGCGTTCCACTCGCTAAATGGACCATTCGGGAATCTCGGCGTAGCAATGTTTATCTGATACATCAAACATCTATGGCTATTTGCATATAGCTACAAATGAGGCTTGCATACATAACATCTCAGCCCAAAGCGAATGGAACCGACAAAGCTGAAGCTATCTGATTTAGCAGCTTACATTGTAGTCCTAGTTGTCGTTTAGTTAGCACGTTAACAGAAAAACAAAACATCTTCAGTTAGCTTCAATGTGTTTATCTTAATATTATGAGATATTGTATACTTATATATAATTATGAGAACAAATATACTCTTAAAAGATTCTAAGTCTTATCGCAGTTCTATCTGATACTCAAGCACCTCCAACTTTCGCCCGACTCGAGGGCGCAAGTTTGGCGATACAAGTCAAAACGAGAAGTACCAAACGCAGAGTATAAAACGTTGTGTCTTACATGCGACGTATCAATGTTAACGTTCGCGGCCTTGGCCTCCAACTGCAGCATCTTCTGCTCGGCTTGGGGCTCCAGCTTCGTCCGCAGGTAGTCCGGGACCAGGTCGTGCGCGAACGTGGGAATACGATTCTCGGTCAGTCGCAGCAGCTCCTCGTCCTTCTCCGGGCACAGGCGTAACGGTAGGACCGTCAGATTCTTCAGATTCGGCGCTTTGTCGTGCGCGAGGATCTTGGAGAGGCTGGTCAACTGTGGGAAAAACGGGCACGTTAGTGGCAATAACAACGCGTGGACGAAAGATATTAACGCTAGAGTTACCGAAACAGTCAAAGTGGTTCGCGATTTGTTATTAAATTTATAACGATGCATTTCCTGAGGTCTTCTGCCGCAAACCTTTGCCGCAAAACGATTGAATCGATCAATTTACTTTCCCCTTTATGCATCGTACAGCTGATAAATGGTAAAAATAGATGTACGCTAATTATCGGTAACTACCGGTGTTAAACCTAATCTACAATGTGCTTTCTGCATCTAGAAACATTCTATTTTATGTAAACAAATCAAAACGCTTAACAAACTTGTCGACAATTTACGATTGTACAATGTATAATGCACAATTTATCAACTTGCCCAAATTTTGTGAACGTATTTATTGGCTAGGAAATAGAATGTTTCTAGACGCAAAGGATACGTTGTAGATTAGCCTTCAGTCGATCAGTGAAGCGGGGACACTTACGTGGCCCGAAATAAGGGCGAAATTGTCGAGGAAGTTGGGCCAATTCAAGGTCTCGTACTCGTGCTCCAACTTAAATATCATCGCGGCAATCGCGTTCTTCAGGTCGTTCACTCGCATTATTATGGCGTCCAAGGCCGATTCCAGTTGCTTCTCCTCCCTCTGCATAATTTTTATCATGAAACACGACGGACGCGAATCTCACTTCACTGTCTCACTCGTCTGACACTCGTCGCTGAGAAACTGCGAGTACTGCGACTGCGAGAAACACTCTTTCTCCTCGGCTGGTCGGGCTGGTCCGTATACAGGGTGGCCAATACATCTCGAATCGTGTTCCGAGACTCTAGGGAATTTTAAAAATTCGATATTATCCCGCGAACGCGCAAAATTATTTCGTCTGTTTTCTGTTGCTACGCTGGCGAACTAGTGCAATAAATTAAGCCCGCTGCAAAATCACCAAAAGCAACTGGACCTGATTTAGAAACCACATAAATCGCCGGATACTTGAAGAATAATGCTCCGCCTCAAGAATTAATGTCTTTAATTGAGACTGAATTCGCGAAGATTCCAACAGAACAAGATTTAACATTTTTAGATCTGCACGATCTTGTACAGTCTTTATCTATGTAAAATCCGGACAATTTTATTGTTGCAAAAAGTTTTCCACGTTATGCAACAATTGCACAGAGGATCAGTGAGAAAAATCATGAAATCGTTAACAAAATTATGTTGTTCTCTTTATCCGCAGTAACTGTAAGTAAACTCACTACGGCAGAGACCACTGCGCAAAGTTTTATCTTTTTCGCAGCGGGTTTCGAAACTTCTTCGGCGACAACATTCGCTCTGTGAGCAACTTCATTTCGACAATAAAAATTATTACAGTGTACAATAAAAATTGCGAATAAAAATCGAACCACGCTCCTGTTCGGTGAAAGAAAGATTACATTACAAGAGTGATGTCTTTTCTTTTTACGTATACTTGAACTAATCTCGATTGCGTGTTCAGCTACGTTGGAAACAATTTAATACGCGTAGAAACAGAATTTCGTGTATCTTTTCGATGTTCTACATCACCTGTGATTTTATGACTTTCGACTTATTTATGTACGTCTAAAGCGTGGCGATCGTAGCGCAGAGGATTGTGCGCTGGTCTGGTAATCCGAAGACCTGGGTTCAAAACCAAACAAAACATTGTTGGTTTTTCGTTCGATCGCCACATAGAAAAGTGGAAGTAGAGAGAGGTGTTATAAGAGGTTTGGGCACGTTCCTTCAAAAACGCCTTGTAACCCTAAGGGGAATCAATAAAATGTACTGGTACTAGGTCAAGGAACAAAATTTACCATTGCATCACATGTTCTCCGACATACAAATTAATAGTTACTATATGATGGGGAAACATTCATCAAAGAAGAATCAAAAGATATTTTTCAATCTATAATGAAGAGGCACTTAAACGACTCTGCATTTAGAAAAATAACATTTGTAAGCTATTTGAGTTGGAATGCATTCCGTATAGCTCCACAGATCTACAAGTTACCTATGTTGCAACGTGCATAGTACTAGTACTAGTACTAGTTTAGCCAATGCACTGTGCTTCTAGGGTACCATCTGAACATGGATGAGCATAGTTACCGTGTTTCGACATTCTCCACGTTCGCCAAATATGCACGTTGCAACATAGGTAACTTGTAGATCTGTGGAGCTATACGGAATACATTCCAATTCAAATAGCTTACAAATGTTATTTTTCTAAATGCAGAGTCGTTTAAGTGCCTCTTCATTATAGATTGCAAAATATCTTTTGACTCTTCTTTGATGAATGTTTCCCCATCATAGTAACTATTAATTTGTATGTCGGAGAACATGTGATGCAATGGTAAATTTTGTTCCTTGAACCACATTTCCCAATCTACAATTTCTAACTCCTGATAACAACATAATAAAGTTTATTATTCGTTGCTTAATAAATGGAAATTTCTTAAACTCTGGTTTTTTGCACAAGAAACATGTCACCTGCATGATCAACAACAAAAGTATGATACAGATGTCTCTTAAAATCATTAGTCTGATATTCACAGAAGCGAGTTACATGACAACGTTTAATAAAATTTTGTAAACTTTTATATCCTAAAAGACGTTGTAAATGATCTAACAGCATGCATCCTTTTTCGTACGGCACATTCTTAATAATTTCCCTGGGTAAGGTACCAGACAAATTAGGTACTAAAGATATGTTGTGATTAACACAAACATTGCTGCTTAAATGTGTCTGTAATTATAACGCAGTTTTAGAAAATAATGCATTAGGTACGCTGAAATGCATAGTAACTGCGAGTGCACGTAAAAAGTAACAAATACTACTACTGTACATTCATCCAGACAGCAGGCAACGTTTATAAGATATTTACAAAATATTTGTAAACATTTTATAAACTGTTGTCCATGCAATATATTCGATTCTGTATTATTATCCAATCAAAATTGATGCTTTACCTCATTTAACACCTTCAGCATCTGTTTGCACATTCATGTAGCACACGATCCGCATCTCCTCGGTGTAATTGCACCAAATATCCTCCAGATTTTTAAAGGTCTGCACAAAATTTTCGACTATTTCTTCGACGATACGTTTCAACTGCGATTGAGCCATTATTCCCCCACGTCTCTATTTTCTCCTGAAGGTCACGCGAATTCTGAAAATTAATATTGCGAGCTAAGAGCACGGCCGCTTTAATTGCGCGTCGTCGAGCACGTACGTACCTCGGTTCCTATCACGGTACGGATCCGCGCGAAATGAACTCACGCGTTCGTCTGTAATTGCAATTTTAAACACGCGCAAGCGTGCGACATCCTCAAGTCCTGAACCAATCAGGGATCATTGGTGTGGCGTCACGTGACGCACGCGAGTTACATGTTACAGTCGCCAGCGAGAACGCGGTTCCCTTCGGTCCAGGGACAAGCGGTACAGTAGAGAATAATTGACACTCCGTGTCGTTACGTAAATACTGCATTTAATACAAATATCGATACGTCAGAACTGGACGTATCGATATTGGTGGAAAAACAGGACAGGACCTGTCACCGCGCGCGGGTCAGCTGTTCGCCAGCTGATCGCCGCGAGCACGTGACACGGGGGGGGGGGGGGGAATTACTTGCGAGAATTATTAACTACTGCTGGTTAATTGCGAGTCATTTTCGCAACGTCGGGACGGCGTCGATGCGGAGCGTGATGAAGTCCTTCCGCGAGGCCCTCGCGAGCGCCAGCAATATCCTGATCTTGACCGGCAGCGGGATCTCCGCGGAGTCCGGCGTGCCGACCTTCCGGGGCGCCGGCGGATTTTGGCGTAAATACCAGGCGCAGAGCCTCGCGACGCCGGAGGCCTTCGCGGCGAACCCCTCGCTGGTCTGGGAGTTCTACGAGTACCGCAGGCAGCTGGTGAGCAAGGTCGAGCCGAACAAGGTAATCTCAAGACCACAAGTTGTTACGAAGCTTCCCTCGCGGTCAACATGCTTTAAGCTTCATCTACGGTGCGTTCTTTGCGTCTGGAAACGTTCTATTTTGTAGCCAATGAATGGAGGAGGTCTCCTCTTTTATGAGGTGGCAGGTTTGTCGACGCACAAATTCAATCACAAGTTTCTTTTCGCAACCATTACGCAATCTAACAATGAATTTCAAAGAATTTAAAGGACTCAGGAGCCCTGACAGGGTGGCAGTGTCTAAATATTCTATTCTAAGTTTATTGCGAAAAAATATCACCTCGGCCAGGGTATTGATATTTTTTCGCAATAAACTTAGAATATTTAGACACTGCCACCCTGTCACGGCTCTGAGTCCTTCAAATTCTTTGAAATTTGTGTTTAACACATACGAGCCATACTAATTTATCTAACAATGAATCTTCCATGTACATTGTACAATCGTACGTTGTCGACTTTGTTAAGAGTTTTGATTTCATTTTGTCGCGCGCCGCAGTCGCTGGCCACGTCACCCGCGCGCTCGCTCGCACTCCGATAAATCGCAAAGGATTAAGAAGAGAACGATAAGCTTTATTTCGCGAAAGAACGTCCGCCGAGCTCGAGAGCCAACTTTGAATTCTCTCTTTAAATCAATACAAGTCATTTACAAGATAATTGAAATCGATATCGTGGCAACGCGGGTGTAACAATATAAAATTGAATGTTTCTAGACGCAGAGCACACAGATTAAGCTTTAAACCTAATCTACAATGTGCTCTTTGCGATTAGAAACATTCTGTTTTGTGCAAGCAAGTCAATATGCTCAAAAATTTGTATGCAAGATCGTTTAACTTGTACACATTTTTTGGCTACAAAATAGAATGTTTTTAGACGCGGACAACGCGTTGCAGACGGACTGTTGAAAGAAAAAAAATAGCAAAACGAAAACTCAAGTTAAATCCCCGGATTTGGCCGCTTTCTTAGGCGCACGAGGCCGTGGCGGAGTTTCAGAAGCGCAAGACAGCGGAGGGTAAACGGGTGTCGATCGTCACGCAAAACATAGACGGTCTCCATCAAAAAGCCGGGGCGACGGACGTGCTGGAGCTGCACGGCTCGCTTTACAGAACGCGCTGCACCAAGTGCCGCAACATTGCCGTTAACGAGAACATTCCCATCTGCCCGGCGCTGGCAGGAAAAGGGTACGCATGAAATCGTGCTAATGCAGTTCGGCGGACAGTGACACGGGACTGTCCGTGCACGGCGCGCTTCTCGTCGATCTGATGATAACGTGTCCAAGCAGATCGCCCGATCCGAGCATCATGACTTCTGGTATCCCAACGGAAGAGCTGCCGCGCTGCGAAGTCGGGGATTGCGGAGCGTTGCTGCGACCTGATATCGTATGGTTTGGGGAACAGTTGGACGCGCACGTACTGAAGAAGGCCTGTACGTAATCTTATTTTATAAACACAGCTGTACAAAAGCGATTCGGAGAGAAATCGAATGGATACTTTGATTGCAAGTTACTCGATATTATCATAAATTATATAAGAAGAGTGAAGCATATTTATCTCAGTCGCGCCAATCCCTTTAAACCACAGTTGACATTGTCGAAACGTGCGACTCTTGCCTGGTCATCGGAACCTCCGCGATTGTGTATCCAGCCGCTATGTTCGCGCCGCAAGTGGCGCAGCGTAATGTACCGGTCGCCGAGTTCAACATAGAGGAAACGCCAGCCACGAGACAAGTGCAGTAAGTATAGACTCCTTCGTTGTTAATAGAAAAAAAAGCCTCTTGTTTACCATGCAACAGTTTTACAAAATTCACGATAAAAATCTGCAGATATATCACAACATCACGATAATACAAAATATAACGCATCTCTTTTACACATGCATGCGGTGTAATCTTGGTAACCCTTTGTTAAGAAACGTTATATCACGTAGTCTCTTCGTGCTTCCGCTTACGTCCTTTGGGATTCGCGTCTGACTGTAACAGAAATATAGAAGAATACGTCACATTTATATATTAGATAAGCCAATAATTTCTGTAGGATAAATTCTTTTTGAAAAAAGCGAATTATTTTACAGATACCACTTCCAAGGCCCCTCTTCTATCACTGTGGCAGAAGCATTGGCGCCTTAGAGTTAGGAACACGTAATAAAATAAGCTCCTTTATAATACAAAAAAAATGATTACCTCACAATAACACACTTCTGTATTTAGTCCAAGGCGACTCAAGTAATCCAACCATAATCTTTGCTTGGTTGACAGCGTATCACTCGGACCCTTCACTTCTACGATTTTATACTGAAAAGTAACGCACATTAGATTAGTTTGTTGGAACTTACGCTCGATAGAATATAAGGCATTCTTTTAAGCTCTGTTTTTAATATAAGCTCTTAAAATTGTACATAGAAAGGAACTTGCCTGTTTTGTGTGTACGTTCCACACAATTAAATCCGGAAAGCCAGCTTTCCAGAGTGAGAAATTATAAATGAGTCGTTCGCAGATTCCAACAACACCCTCCACTCCCAGGCAAAATGTCACTTCCTGAAAACGAACGCGATACATTTACAACTCGTCCTTCACTGTAAACTTTATTCTAATGAAAGACGAGCTACTTGCTTGAAAACTGTTACTGTCGTTAAAAATGTTGCCCTGAGCGATAGACGTGCAATCACACTGCAATTCAAATTTGTGCTTCAAATGCTTGCTCAACGTTTCGGCATCGAACTTTCGAATAATTTGCAGCTTCGTGTCAATCTGTTCCTTCCTGTTCTCATAAAATTCCGACGAGTACAGATCCAACGGCGCGTCCTGATACAACGACACCCAAGCGCCGGGAATGTTCATGTTGTAAATCTCCTCCCAAAACAACGTAGCGAATAGAGTGATCGGAAAAGCACCCTCGCAATGTACGCCTTTGATGTAACCGTCGCGTTTGTAACGATATAACGCCAGACTCTCAACCGAGCCGTACGTCTGTTGGTCCACGCTGTTGCTGATGCACCAAATATTCTTCCTCTGTAGAGTATTACTGGAAAAACGTGACGTATTATGTATATATCTCGAATCTATATTGATGGTCATAGCCTTTCGAGTTACAGCGAATTCGGTTGTGTGCACTCGGTGCGCACTAATGCGAGCAACCAAATTCGCTATTAATTTATCTTACCCATGTAACGTTCCTATAATCGTGATGGAACTTTGAGGCATCAGCTGCGTCCTGCTAAACACCTTGTCCAATATTTGTTGAGCAGTGGCTCTTTCGTGTTTGCTGATGCCGGATTTCCTCTTGATAATTAACTCTGCTCTGTCCGACAGGTCTAATCTATCGACTTCCGTTAAACTCTCGCACGTGATCGCATCCGATAGTAATGTGACACCAGCCACAATATTCTTCATGTGATACATCTGTATCTTGATCAACTCCCCGTACCACTGACCTTTTCTATGTTTCATGTGACAATTCTGATTAATCAGCATTTGCAAAAATTCTATCGCCTGTGTCATAGTTGTCTTTTTAAATGCGTCGATGCTCTTGTACAAGACTTTGAGCCACATGTAACCAGGCATGAAGTGCCTGATGTGATGAGGCAGCTCCTGAAGGCTGCAAGTGGACGTAATATCAAACAAATCTGCTTTAAAACAATCATTTTATCTTAGAAGTGTACATTCTGTCGATCAAAATTTCCCTTACCTCTCCTCTAGTGCCAAGAAGAGCGGCAAACGTTGCGCGGCTAAAGTTCCGAGGTCCCGTACAGTCTCCCACTGCTTTCCCTCGATTGCACTTAACACACTAGTCAACGTATTTTTCGCCTCGATGTAGCTGCAAAGTGTGTACGAGATTCAAATTAAAGTCAGGTTCAAAAGTATAAGACAAACGATAGAACGAGAATCAGAGAAACGATAGTAAAGTCACCCACTTTAACAGATGTTCCTTACTGGCAAAGATGGGGAAGTCACTTATGGTTATCTCTGGGAACTTCATCTCATCCTTGTCAATTCTAAGCAACATTAGGAATACGTCCACCATCGTCTCGGCGGGGTCCCGATTAGGCTTCAGCAGCGTGATTATTCTATCAACCACTTCCCTCACTCTGGCATTCACTAAAATGCAGGGCCCCAAGCGCTTGTTGACCGACGCGCGCAGTTTGCTGGCGGGACTCGCCATTCCAGGGAACAACGACTTCGCTTGGCGGCAGAACTCCAGAATTGACCGTATGCTGTTCTTTTTCCCGCTAACGTTGATCTTCGACTCCTGACAAAGCTTGCGGACCTCGTCGGCTTGCAGCAAGTTCAGCAAAACGGATATGTCCTCCTCCTCCGTGTTACTTTCGAAAATGGATCGCGACACAAGCTCGTCGAAGATCGGCCTCAGGTCGCCGGATATCCTGTCGTATTTAATGCCGCTGATCCTGCGCCACGCGTGCTTCCTCTTCAAAATACGTACGAACAGTGCTTGCGCGGGCTCGGGAAGGGTCATCAGCGAGTATATCAAGTCCAGCTCGTTCTGATTGAAATATCCGCAATTGATTGGGTTGGAGAACACGACGACGATGGCGCGCAGCAAGTGCAGCGAGTACATGTCCGTGGGTACGACCACGTCGCTGATTTCGTATCTCGTCGGCACCGTGGTGTCTATGGGGCTGTAATTGTAGCTGAATCTCCCGCTCGAGTAAACCTTCTCCAGGTCGATGTCGTTGTTGGCTATGGCTCCCTCCTTGGCCAGATTCAGATTAGTTATCGTCGCGGATACCAACTCCTTGGTGTTGTCCCCGAACAATTTCCTTCGCGCCACCTTCGCGCGCCTCGCTGACCTGTCTAGCGCGTCTTTTATCGGAGACACCGTCTTCGGCGTGAACTTTGCACCGCTGTGCGACGTGGGGGTACGCTGTCGACTGGCGATGGGAGAAGCGTGTTTGGTAATTGGCGACGTTACCGCACTAGCTTGTGCAACTTTCGTCGGACTGTTTTCCATCGAGGACGATGTCTTTGGTGTGATTGCACCGCGCGGCGCAGGAGCACGTCGACTTCCAAGGGAAGAAACACGCTTAGCCGTTGGCGACGTTGCTGTTTTATCTTCTGTAACTTTACTTGGGCTGTCACGTGCGTCGACTTTCAACGAACGAGACGCCTCGCTGCCCGACGAGACACTGTTTTGCAACGCTCCGCGGCTTTCGTTCATCTTGTGCGAATTACGTTTGCCATTTTTACGCACAGAAGAAGATCCTGACTTGTCCGGTGCTCCTCCTTTCTGTATACCGAGAGAAAGACAAAGTATAATTCAGTGCATTGCTAATAAGGTTCTAAATATCACGCTCAGACAACGAATGGCAGTTCAAAACTTACCGTCTTACCAACCGCTGGGCTTCCGACGTTGGACTTGTTGGCGTTGTCCTTCATATCGTCGAGCTTCCTGTTGGTCACTTTATAGAACTGATCTATTCTGGTTTGTGTCATCGCGCCGGAAAAACGTTCAGATTAACACGAGCAATCTCCACGACTCCCGACACTCACATCGTGCATGCATCACCGGACTAAAACGGGTGCAAAGGACAGCCGACTCGGAGACCCGGAGGAACGTACGGGGGGGGTCGCTCTGCGTCAAAATCGTTTGCTCTCTCTCAATCCTTTTTTTTTATTTTCGTTCGTACATTATCCTATCCTTAAGTGGTACTTAATTTAAACCATAGCGGATCGACCAAGGGAATTACAGTTATTTACACAGTCCATACAAATCACCGGCGATGATACAAGAGCGTTCGGTTGCCCGGTGCCGCGCGGATCGCGCCGGGGCGAGAGACCAAGTGTTGACGCGGCGTCAATGCTCGCCGATCGCGCGCAGCTTTTCTTCCCCCGTGTATTTCAATGCTACTCGCCAAGGGGACGTTCGGGCGGGAGAGACGCGCGAAGCGTCTGACGAAACGGCGAGTCCCTCGCGCTTACCTTAAAGATAAAGAGTCCAGAAGTCACGCACGCGCGCGCGCACGTGCACGCCGTAGGGAAGAGGATCGTAAAATGCCGCGCGTGTCTCGACGTCGCGTACCACCAACTGCGCAGAGTTAACTCGGCGAGAACGAGCGCGCCCGCCTTTGTGCCAGCCGCAACGTCAGACGAGGTTAGGTTAGGTTAGGTCCGCGCTTCCGCGCAGGCGCACCACGCCTCGCGGGAAGCTGAGCGCGCGGCGAGACGCGCGAACACGCCGAGGGTCAATTCTGCATCTTCGCGAACATAGTGAAAATAGCTGCGCTCGGCGTTACACGTCTGAAGCTGGGTACAACATCCACGAACGCGCGCACCGAATGCGAACGCTTGGAGACTCGCGTTCGCGTTCTGAAGGGGCGTTCGTTTCCCTTTATCTATCATGTACCGCCTCGTGAGGGGATCGTGCCGAACCCCCTGGGGCCCGATTCTTGAATTTATTCGAAGGAGAAACGTATGCGAAAATTCTGCTCTTACAGAAAAGTTGCAAGTTGGCTGGCTATTCGCATGGCTTTAGCCAATCGACTTTCAACTTTTCTGTCAGAGCAGAATATTCGTGTACGTTTCTTCTTCGAATGATTTCGAGAATCGGGCCCCTGGTCCGCCAATCTTGCTTTGAGTAAGCTACGAGCCTAAAGCCCGTATCAGACTACGGATTGAGATTGAGATTAGATTGAAATTTGACCAATAAGAGTAAAAGTCACTAAACTTGAGATTAGCAAACTTTACTGTGATTGGTCAAATTTCAATTTAATCCCAATCCCAATCCGTAGTCTGATACGGGCTTGAGGCTCTGAAGGCCATTCTACAATTGCGTAAACGTAGTTGTAGGGTTGTAGGAGTAGAAGTAGTAGTAAGTGTTGTACAACAAAGTAATATACAATAGATACATCGTAATTGAAGTGAATGATAACGAATCAGAGTACAGTTTAGCGTTTGATGAGAGGGGCATGGACACGTGACAGAATTCTGATTGGTTAGCCATTACGTTCTACACCGTTGTAGTCGTGAAAGATGAAGTTCAGCCATCTTTTACAACAGGTTTTACAATCGGAAATGCTAGTTTAAAACTGTGTTTTACAACACTGTACAACCGCCAACAGCCGCGTTTACGCAATTGTAGAATGGCCTTAAGAAATTAACCACTCACAGGCGAGAGTGAGGGAAATAAATGCCTGTGATTGGTTAATTCCTTACGGCTTAAGGCTTACAGCTTACTTAAAGCAAGATTGTGGACCAGGGGTAAGTCCCAGTCTACAATAGATGACTTAAGCCCTAAGAAATTGGCCAATCGCGGTCAAGTATGAGTAGAATACGCGACTGTGATTGGTCAATTTCTTAAGGCTTAGGTTTTAAATATTGTAGACTGGGACTAAGTCCCAGTCTACAATAGAGATTTAAACCCTAAGCCTTAAGAAATTGACTAATCACAATCGCATATTCTACTCGTACTTGACCGTGATTGGTCAATTTCTTAAAGCTTAGGGCTTAAATCCTCTATTGTAGACTGGGACTAAAGGTTCTCTTACTTCTAACTGCTTACTTCCAATGTAGACGGCCCTTTAGACAGAGACAAGGCTACTCACTTTTAACATTTTCACTATAGTGTGAGATACAGAATTTGCCTGCTGGGCAGAAAGATTGTCGTAACCGTTTACGTTTCTGTCGTAAGACTTAAGCTGGTGTCGGAAGTCAACGTACAAAGAATTGACGCACGACGCATTCGTCGCATCGCGAAATTCTTCGTGCGACGACTACCGAGATCGACTCGCGTTCTTACTACGGAAACGTAAGCACTTACGACAATCTTTCCGCTCAGGCCCCAACCCGCGGGCCGAGACTCTGCGGTCGGCCACTTTGTAACTTATGTGGCACAATGACGACTCGCGCTGGTATATAAAGATTACACATCGTTTCTCGAACTTATTATATAACAAGTTGATAAATGGGATGAGGATAAAATGCCAATTTGTAGAAACACTCGGCGATCGAGTAGACGCCGCTCGATGCAATTCTAATTTCAACCTGACGATTTTACGTCGCTCTATACATCAAGTTTACACAATTATAGATGGCCCAGAAATATAACAAAGAAAAAAAGGTTTAATGTAAATTCCATGTGAAGACGAACCTTTCGAGAAACCCTGCTGTCTCTTGACGGGAATATATTCTATCATATGTACATACAGGACAGCGCACATATAAAACCAGCCGCGAATGCAAAATAGTTTCAAGCCCGCTGCAGACGATGCTACTTTTCCCGCTGGACTGCTTGCGATTTAGCGAAATTACTAGAAATCCTGAGTGCCGAGCGGTGCAATGGTAGTAATTTATTAGATTGCGAGCAATCCAGCGGGGAAAAAATCGTCTTATTTCTATAAATGAGGTTGTGAGAAATACAAATGCAAGAATACTTTTTGTCCCGGTAACAGAAAACCTTTCTGAGGGCGTACGTTACAGGTAACGAGTTACTTCCCAACCTTGAATTGTCCACTAAACAGATTTCGCTCCACGGACAATAAATTCATGGTGGAATCAATAGATGATGCCTATTGTCTTATAGCAGAAACTCCGCTATCTCATAATAGACCCTTTATATTTTGCGTTTGGAGCCGGTTTTAATTGCGCCACTCTGTGTATACATATACAGGGTGAGTCACTCCACATCCGACAAAATTTTTGAGAAGGTAGAACGGATCGAAATAAACAAATAAATAAAAATAAAAAAAATAAAATAAAAATAAACAAAAAAGTCCTGTACCATTTTGCAATTTTCGCAATAAATAACGAGTAGTTGATTATTAAAAATTGTCTTAGCCCATCAGTCTACCGCCCAATTCGAGCGCACGGAAAGTTGTTTATCGCAATCGGCAATGGCTACGCACGAGCGGTGCGTAAAATAAATAAGTAAATAAATAAATCAGATGTAGATTTCGATTCCATCGGTTAATTTCGCTTTAATTTAATTTTTCTGATCGCAAACGCGTAGCCGGCTATCGCGACGCGAGTCTAGTCGCGCTGTCTCCCCCTCGCCATATTTTTCTATGTTCCATGTAATATACAAACATACATACGAACAAATATTTTGATGCCGAATTTCATTTTGATTGAAAAAGGCTAAGGAATTGTTATAGGTCGGAACGGGGGTCTAGCGTTACGCGTCGTTCGTGCGTAGCCATTGCTAGAGGCCCTGTAATCAGAGACTGGCCATAAGAGAGTTCGTCGAATCGTAGAAGAGTGAGATAGCCTGTGTTTCTCTTTCGCTCGCAGGAATTTGACAAACTCTTTTATGACCAGTCTCTGATTACAGGGCCTCCAGCCGTTGCCGAATGCGATAAATAACTTTCTGTGCGCAAGGCAATGTCGATCGCCGAGAGGCCACATCTCACCACGCGCTCAAATTGGGCAGTAAGTCGGGCTAAAACAACGATTTTTAATAATTAATTATTCGTTAACTATTACGAAAATTGCAAAATGGTACAGAGCTTTTCTGTTCATCTCGATCCGTTCTACTTTCTCGCAAATTTTGTCGGATGTGGAATGACTCACCCTGTATATATAAGAAAATACAATCTTCCGTCTGAGAAAATTCGTCATATCCGAATTGAAAGGAAGAGATTACAAAGACATCGATCCCGAAGAGTTAGGTAAGCTTTTAAAAAAACAAAATAGAAAAGAAAAACCGTTCGATAGTCAGCGTAATCGGAATTTATTTTGGCAGGTCCACTTTGCTCCGGACCTCGTTCGTCCGTTACGTCTCCAAGTGCGACTCTCTCACGGCCGAGACGTAAGGACCCGCGTGAACGACGCCCCGTCACGGTTTCTCGTCCATTTGAAAAGCGCACGAGGAAACGGGACTCGCCTAAAGTTAAAAGTGAAAACGCCTCGTTGCCGCGTGGCCGACGTGAACGGAATGGAAATACAACCGAATTTCAGGCTCTCGTTAAATTGCATTCGGCTCGCCGAGTTACTTGTCAGAGGTATTGTATGTATACAGCGAGTTGTGATCTAAATGCGCCGCATTCTCTCTCTCTCTCTCTCTCTCTCACTCTCTTCTACATATTTTTGTCGTGTTTCCATGTACAGAGCTTACGAGGTGTGTTTCATGTATACGTACATATGTATACGAATATGTACAAGTCGTCCAGCATCCGTCGATTTCTTCCTTCTCCTTTCCGCCTCAGAATTACACGCGCTAGTTAGAATATATATATATGTATATATATATATATTTAATACCCAAAAATGCAACCCGTAAATTGACTTATAATATATATGTACACACATACACGCACGCACGCACTCAATTAGTTATATCCCCTACCTCGCGCGTGCCGTTTAATGATTACGAGTAATTAATACTTAGGTCTCTATACATAAGTTGCGGGGAAATGCCGACTCGTCCACCAGTTAACACCTCTCTATCCTCTATCCCGGCGATAATGGAGATCGCGGCGGCGATTTATCTCGCGTCTTGGACGAAATGTTTGCGCGAGGCGAGAGACTCGAGCGTTCGACCGATTGCTACTTGAAAACCTGGGCAAACAAATCGCACGATTTAATTCAGGGATACAATAATTTAATACGATTAATATGCGTTTCTCAGGTACCGCGAACGTCCCGATAAGTGAGACGTGAGTTTCTCGCGGCCTTCGCCGAGGGGTGTTATCAGGTGACGGATCTGGATCAGACGACGTGTCGTGTCGAGGACCAAGTCGAAGGGCCGTCCGGAGCGGACGTTCCACGAGATCTCCCGTAGGTCCAGCATCGTAGGGCGCTGTCGGTACGCTCGAACGTCGCGAGAACATCCTTACGCCTTACTCGACCGCGTGAATTTGTAACTTAATATATTGAGAACGATGGTGGTTACATATTGAGCAGGTTGTATTATATAAAAGCTTTCGTCTTACCCTTTTAATTCTCTCTTTCCCTACGATGCCGGGGACCTCGCAGAGTATCCTTATATGCACGCGACAGAAAACTCCCTGCGTCTCCTCTCAGCCCCTGCGAGTCCTCCGACTGTACAATTATTCTCAAGAGAGTGAGATTACTCCGCGCCCACGGGTTTCGTTCAAATCGGGACCTCGGCTGAGAAGCGTCGTGTCTCCCTCTATTTTTTTTCCCCCCCGGTTTCTTTTTCATCCCGCTCGGACCTTCCTGCGTCGCACAGCGACGCGGAAGCCCTACACCGTATATTCACAGAATAAAATACACGTATTATAGATACACATCGTGCCTCGACGCGTCGGTCGATATTAAATCGTAAATCTGTTTAACACGCAGAAAAAGAGCCCTCTCGCTTAGATATCTATTTGACCGGCGTTTCAAGCGCACTCCTCTCCTCCCAATAATCTCGCCTCTCGCGCGCAAACAGGCGGCACGGCCTTGTCGGTTCGCCTCGTCCCATCTCGGACCCGGTCTCGTCGACTCGGGATATTTGCATTGATCGGTCTTAACTTCTACTTACATGATACACTATTGTTTCTCGCGAATGCAACGAATTGGGTAAACACGAAGTCTCACCGTTCACGACACGACCGATCTCTTTATCTCGCCCACCTCCGCCACCTCGTCCTCTTCAGTCTTTCAATTTCCCGGACGCGTCTTTCTCGACGGTAGTCCAGGTTTTTCTCCCGCACGGATTTTTCTTTCACCGCGCGCACACGCAGGACGAGCGTCCCCGTCGGTCTTAGCCGCAGTGGAATTTCGTGTTTGCCAAACCAGAGAAATGTAAAGCGAACTCAGTCTTTGGTTGGAGCGATCCTTCAAATCTCGATTCTCGATGTTTTATTTAACTTTAATGGCTATCGGATTACCTTTAACATTAATAAATTTTATATAAAAATCCATATACATCCGCTATACCATGTTTTCAAAGCGTTTCCAAACTAAAGTAAAACGGATTGCTTCTCTTTACAAATTACATTTCTCGAATCCTCCGTCTTTCTCTGCCTCTCCTTTTCGTTCACGCAAAGTCGCTCGTTCTTCTCAAAGTCATTTGGCGGAAGAGTTTTCGCTTCTTTCTTTTCAAGGCGTCGCTAGAAATCTCAGTAGCAGCATGTTATACCGCTGTACATACGGTGTCTTTGTTCGTGTATGTGTAGTACGTGTGCGTGTGTTTCACGGCAAGCAGATAACGTTTATAAAAGCTAGACGCAACGAATACACGAGAGCAAACAAGGCGGAGAGAACGGAGGAAATTTCGGTTTCGCGCGCAACAGTGAATCTGAGAAAAACGAGAGAAACGACCGAGCATTTATAAAGAGTATGTACAAACTGTGTATGTGTGTGTGTGTGTGTGTCACAGAAAAAACGAATCTCGCAAAAAAAAAAAAGAACAATGTCCCGACATTATACAGGCGAGAGTGTGAAGATCTTAACAAAATAATAAGTCCTATCCAGGATAAAATTTCTTTATTACTCCTCCTTTCTAAAATCGTCTTGAAATTCATAAATTTTCGTACACATTTCGCTGTGCGTCTACCACAACAACGTTTCTTTTTTTTTTAATTACAGTTATTCAGTTAATTACCTAAAAGTAAGAGATACAATAAGCGTAATTATTTTTATATGTACAATATATCTGATTTTTTTTTGCTTCATTTTATTACGATCTCGAGAAGTCTCCCCTACGATTTTTGTAATCACTCGCACCATAAGCTTACTCCCCCACCGTTCTCGCGTCACGGCTGGCGACGAATCGTTTTATGGCTCGCTTTACCGCGAGAGATTCCTTTTGAGGGCCAGGCGTACACAGAAATTCCTTGTTTTACACCGGCGATTATATTCAATGATCAGTGCCTGCGCGTTTCGATAATTGCAACAAATAACAATCGATTGCTGCGTTTCCTCAAGAATTTTTTTTTCTCCAGATTTTCCATCCATTCATTCTTGTAAATACGCGGTTATTCTGTTTGCAGTAACAAGAAAAGTACAACTATCAGTATGTCAAAGAAGAATATGAGTCGAGTGTGGCTATAGAGGGTACAAAGGTGATCTCTGTTCTCTGCAAGGCATTCCGACCGAACAATCGTGCTCGTCTCTTTCTCTCTCAATATATCCCGAAAATTTGTTACCGTTAATTTCGAAAGGCCATCCCTCGTCTAAAATACCGTGCGCGTTTATAAAAGTAAAGCGTACGATCGACAGGTCGGTTCGATCGCAAAGATACGCTCTCATTTCTTTTATATATTTTTATACATCTTTTTTTTTAACACTCTCTTGCAATCTGAAGGTAGAAGAGCAAGCGGTGTCCTGTAGAAAGACTGAGAGAGAGAGAGAGAGAGAGGAAGAGAGGAAGAGAGGAAGAGAGCCGTATTACATGTCGCCTATATTACGCGGGGAAAACCCAGGAGATACTACGCTCTTTTTTTTGTCTTTCGTGATGATGAATCGAACAGTCGGCGGAAGCGTACACATTTTATCTAGAGGAAGGTCGCATTGATTAAACGTACGAGCACAACGAGATATTTTGCTCGAGTCGACTGTAGATACACCCAAGATGATTCGTTCAGTTGTATCAACAGATACTCTACCTCTCGCGGCGAGTTACATGTGCATCGGTGAAAAGAGAACGAATGTCACTCGCGTGCATAATTTGACGCTGCTCTCTTTCTCTTTCTCTCTCTCTCTCTCTCTCTCTCTCTCTCTTTCGGAGAATAACGTTGAGACACCTGTCTAAACGGAGGTTTCAATGGCACGCCCGAATTTTATTATCTGCACGCTCTCTCTTTCTCTCTCTCTCTTTCTGTAACACGTGGCGTCGCACGTGGCAAGATTCGCGCGGGCTTGAATTCCGACGAAGCTCATGTCCGCGAGCCGCAAGGTCTATTCTACAAATAAGAACACGTATCGAACAGCTTTCCGACGTTTACGTTTATCTACGGTAGAATACCGAGTCTGTGAGAGGACAGATAAAAAGTGTGATATGAGGTGCAGTATCGTAATAGCTTCTTGCTTCGATCTTATCTCGTTAAATCCGTTCACACGGGAGAGGTATATTGAAAGAAAAGGGAAAGAAAGGAAATCAAGAAATAAATTCGCGCGTAGACGAACACATGTACAGTTGCGTTAATGAATCCGCCTTTAGAGACAATGATATTTAACCGCTCTTGTATATCATCTACTTTGCCAAACACCGTTGCTCGTAGTACTTGGGTATTTTTCCTACATCGATAGTGATAATTTCAGTCACTGATGTGAAAGACATAAATATTCCTATACGTTGCCCCCGGATGAGCTTTGTAGATTCTAACACAGTATACATATAATGATCCTTTCGCGCGGTAAACACAAATCCCGTGATACAAGCTTTCTAAACGCAACATTATTAAGTTACATTACTATTGCATATCGATCGCATGTTATACGCGGCGGTGGATATGCGGGTATAAAAATGTACATTTTGGCGATTACTGGAGAGAAAGAGGGGGGAAAAAAAATTCTTTGACGATTACAATGACTTAATGCTATCAAAGATTAATTGATAACAATAGCTTCGATATTTCACAGCCTGGAAGCCTTTAACGTAGTATTATATATGTATGTATGTATGTATATATATTTATATATATTTATATATAATATATATAAGGAGCATTACTATATAAAGTCGTACAATACTCGCGAACCGAATCTATATACAGTATTGAGAAAAATCGTACACTTTCGTAAGAAATTAATTAATCTACTTTCCTTTCCTGTAGTGTTACTTATCTGGAAAGCGACGAGATGTAATTCGAGCATACTCTATTGTACTTACAAGCAGATTATTATACAATCCCCGCCATTGCTAATATAATGCTTTGAATCTATTTGTCCATACACGGTCGCGAAGAAACTCATGGGAATTATCTAAAATTATTCTTTCTTTCTTCTTCTTTTTTTTTCTTCAAAACAACGATTATCTGATTTTAGGATAACTAAGGCAATTTCTAGTAATCGGATTTAACACGTCCACGCGAAGCTTCTATATATTCTCGAGTGTCCATTTCTGAATGCTGTTGCGAGATATGCAAAATGAAAAGAATTTGCTTCTTTTCTTACGAACTTTTCAGTAATCAATGCTGTGTCTGAGAAAGCTTGCTGCGTTATTGTGCGCCCAATAATTGTGTCACTGAATAGTATTGAGCTGATAAATACGAGGAATTTCGATGTCGAGATAAACGGAATTTGTTCGCATCTCGGATTTACGCTTTTCCTTGCATTGAACGAACGAGACTCTTGCAGACTATTGTCACTAAAAACAATGGAGAAGTATCGCGCGCTATACTTAGACGAAGTAACTCAATTACTCGCGTGATCTTTTAATCGTTCACCCTTTTTTTTACAGTTCCGCTATTCATGACTCAAGCCTCGGTTGTTTCTTTGCTCTAAGTTATACATCATTACTTAGTTTTATAAAAGACGAAGAGGAAAGTGAGCACTTATTTAACAGAACACTAGTGCTAATTTCGGACAATCGGACAGATTAGTTTCGGAGAATCTTCAATCTACAAAAGCAATGGCAATATTTTTCGTCATGTGGCTACCAATCGGAATTTAACGGTAAATGGTTAGTTAATTGGTCGTTCAATGAGCAAGGAAAAAGATAATTTAACGAATACGGAGCACGGACCCTCCCCCCCCCCCCCCCCGACGGAGAGAAAAAAAAGAAACTTGGTACTTGCATTAGAATCCACGCTATCGCTGATTATCGTCGCCATGACAAAACAACTGATCGGAGGAGCAATTATACCTAGCCGTGTATCTCTCTTTCACGTCAACGTAGCGCAGTATACCGTCAGTACGCGTTCGATCTTCCGCCCGAAGCAGACATCATAGGCAAGGTAAGAGAATTAGCGAAGCCCCCAGTGACGTATTGGCGGCAACAGGGGTGCCGACAGCAGGCATCATGTCACTTCCATCGCCAGTGAATTTGTTTTGTTCGCCCGTACAAGCTGTTGCTGCTGCGGCTTGCTGTCGCACGGCGAACCGTCCACTCCATCCACTTCCATATCCAAACTTTCACTACAATCAAACGAACGGTAAATCAGGACGGTGTTAAAGTTTGCGGAACATTGTGTACAATCATGCCGCCATTCCGGTTATTGAAATGTTTAAGTCGCAACGCTTCTGCTCCTGTACCTGGTGTCGCTCGCGAAGGGAGAAACGTTAGCAAGAACTCAAGAGTTAATTGCAGTTGTAAAAGATGATCGTTTACCTATTACTATTAAGCGTAATTTCCCCGGACGTTGGGACCTGCGGCGCCTGATTTTGCGTCTGTTGCTGTTGCTGCCTCGCGAGGCTCGCCAATTTACTTTGCGTTATCAGGCCGGGTAACAGATTGGACGGTGGATGCTTCTGTGGTAGAACTAACGTGGACTGCTGGTTGTTGACGACGTGAGTGCTGTTCGTCAGATTGTTGGAGTTGTTTATGTGCGGCAGCGGGCCGTTCTGGTGGCTATTGCCAAAGTTTGTGACGTTACTACCGTTGCCGCTACTACTACTGCTACCACCACCACCACCACCGTTGCCGCCGCCACCGCTGCCGCTGCACGTGGTACTCGCACTAAACACCCTAACATTTGCACTACCACCGCCACTACCACCACCGCCGCAGCTGCCGCCATTCCTGTTATTTGTCGGACTAGTCAAGGATTTCGAGAGAATGGAGGCAGCGGGACTGTTGTTCGGCAATTGTCTGTGTTGCTGCTTGTGTTGCTGATGATTCGATTGCGTGTCGACCGCGGCACTGACACCGACAGTGCACTGCGTGGACACTGTACTCGATGCCACGGCGGCCTGACTGGTCGTACACGCGACGACGGAGGACGACGGAGGAATCGACGAAGAACTCGTACAAGTATGTACAACACTAGAACCACCACTGCAACATGTTGTAAGCCGGGTCTGCTGTGCCGCGGTAGGCGGCGCGAACAGACTACTCGCGAGCGGCGTCATCACGAAGCGTGAACTGCCCAGCTCGCCGTCTGTCCGTGATTCGTTCGCGCTGCCGTCTGAGAGACCACTGACGCACGCACTAACCGTACTACTACCACTACTACTACCGAAGCCCGCCACCGCGAGCTCCAAGTCCGACACCACGTCCGTCGCGAAGTAATCCGCGATATTAAACTCCGACGTAAACGGCGATTCGTCACCCGCGCGTTCCGGCTCCACCTCGATGCATATGGACGTCGCCTCGGGTGGGAACGGGTATGGAAGCTTGGATCGGGACACTGTTGACTCTACGTCCACGTCCGTGTCGTCGCTACTCTCCTCGCTTGGACTGTGCGCCGACGCGGGCGGAGTCTTTGGTCGAAAATGTAACCTGCCGGGCAGAAATATCAATGTCAAGGAATGCGATACCGCATAAAAATTCTTCCTTCGTGAATTGAGTAAACGGGATCTTGTAATTCGCCGATACAAACAATAAAGCAAGATATGTAATGTACCTCTTAATTAAATAATGATTACATTGAAAACCTACCATTCCTTTTTGACGGTAGTCGTTGCTGTGGCAGTCGCGTTTGAATCCGCTGTCTCGCGATTGGAGTCTTGTATCGTGAAATCTAAGGTAGACCATAAATCGTCCACATCGGCCGCGTAACGGTCTAGTATTACTCTGAAAATCGTTAATAAAACAAACGCAGTCAAATAAATGTCATTTTACTTTGTTTTACATTTCAATTTGTATTCCTAGCTTAATAATGTTTTAAATTGTGTTCTTTTTTTATTATACTGAAGATGGTCCAATAAGGACCGAAACGTCTATATTCACTTATAATTAAATGTTTTTTTTAACACTACCATCCTGTTCTGGCTCTGAGCCCTTTATTTCATTTATTTGAAATGTTACTTTACTTAGCAACGTCTATCACATCGGTAGACATCGTACCTGCCACCGCGACCAACTCTCCGTCGTGCGAAGCCAATACACCTCGGCACCGGTTTGCTAATGCTGGTCAGCGCAAACCTGTACTTTTTATCAGCACAACCGCCTTCGTTTTTATCACACCAAGGCCAATTTCCCAAACCACTTAATACAGGCTGCAAAGAGAGGAGTATTAGATTCAAGATCCTAAAAAGTAACTGCCACCAGACTGTCTCTACACTGGCCTCCCCAGTTGCAGTAACACTTATGAAAAGAATTCTAGATTTAAAACAGTGCTGCAACAGTACCGATGTCGATTCACCTCAATCTGGCAACGATCGACTAACAGGACCGATAGCGTAATCGAAGTATATCCAATAAATAAAAATTATTCCAAAGAGACAGTTTGTTGACATGTTTGCAACCACTCATTTGTTTACAAAGTAGATTGCGATAAAATATTGTGACATGCCACGCACTATTTAATTTTTATCATATTGGCAACTTAATATTTTGCTAGTATTTATCCAGTTCAAACGATTAAGGATGTATTGGACGTACAATCTTAGACAAAAGTGCACGAAATTGGAAATACTTGAACATCTACTCTTAACGCATAGTAAATCTAGATGTAAGAAAGTTGAACGATAGTTGGAGTCTTATTTGTACTCCTACAAAGGTATTTTTCACTTCACAAATGTTTTTTCCTGCATTATTTGCGATTTTTTTCACTTATGAGCCCAAACTTTTGATAGTGAAAATACCCTGATTTCAACTTAATAACGTCAAAGATTTTCAAAACTAAAAAATTCGTGCCGACAGCACGAATGTCTCAAGTTATATTTTATTTCTTTAAAACGGTGTAGTAAAGACTATTGAAACTTGGTAAATAATTTTCATCCATCCGTATACTAGATGTATAAAAAAATTCAAAACACTGGTACTATTTCTTCTACATTTTTTTAAGCGGTTTTATCCATGCAGATCGGCTCTTTCCATAAGAGTACGTGTATAATCGATGTAAATTAAAATAGTTATATCTCAGCAACCGTTTAGTGGATGCATTTTTACTTTTCTGCAGTACATTAGGAAGACTAAAAGAACAACTTCACAAATTTTTAGCGACTTTGTACTATTTTGAAGATAGGTCCGATACATCCCTAAGTAAAAATGTAAAGGGTTCGGGAAAACTTCCTCGAAAAGTGCCTTGCAGTCCTGAGGGGAGTCAATAAAGATATTATGTATCCAGTTCGAACAATACGGTGTCAACAATAAATTGGATAAAATGAATACGCTCGGAAAACATGTTAGACCGGCTTACCGGCAAATAAGAGCTATTCCTATTTCGACGAAAGGCGAATTGACCCTCGTCTGCGGTGTCTTCGTCATCGCGATCGGAGGGTAACGAGGGCTGGGAGTGCGAATGAGATGGAAGTGGGCTGTCATCGTCCGAACTGATGAGCGGGTCCAGCCCGCCTCCGAGAACTCCTGGGCGATTTCCTCGGCCGCCACCACTACCCGTTCCGCTACGAATACCAGTGTCGTCTAAGCTTCCTCCCCTGCTGTCCGTTTTATGTTTCCGCTTCTTATACTGTCGCTTTTCTTTCCTGGGTACTACTTCGTCCTAAATTGAGAGAAAACCGCCGTTAACAATCATTACACGGCAGATGCAGAGACGATAACGCTTTATCGGAACGTTTGAAGACAAATGAAGAGTCAGGGACGCACAAACGGTTCCCTTAACGTCGACACATACTTTACAAACTTTATTTGTCCAATTTTGGTGAACGCCAAACTGATTGGTGAAAAGTGGAGCAAATGCTGGCCTCGGAGCTTTCAACGCCGACACTTCCGCCAATATCTGTCCACTGTAGTCCTGCGCCTGATACCTGAAATCGGACATGAAATTCCCAGTTAGTGGCGCGCAATGCACACAACAGTATCATCGTCGGCTTTAATACGAACCGTTTCTCGTAGATCTCGATCGTGAGATGCAGATGTTCCCGCTTCGTCTTCTCTCGGCGTTTCACCATCTCCAGTAGCGTGACCGCCCTACTAAGATCTCTACGAAGCTTCAGCATTTTCTCGTAGCTGGTCTCGTCGTTCTTGCGATTCTTCCGCGTCTGCATCTTCTCCGTGCGGCGTCTGAACGCGAGATACGGATTGTTTGCAGCCGAGCCGAATCGATTTTCCGTTTTAACCGTTAATAGCAGAGGATGTTGCTGTAAAAAAAATCAACGATATTATTGATCGCGTACAAGAGGTTGCTTCAAGAACGCTGAAAATCTCAATGGACTTTTATCGAAAAAAAAAGAAGAAAGGGGATAAAAAATTTGTCGCGTTCTTATATTCTCAAGTCCTACTCTACAATAGATGATCCGAACGTCAAGCCGTAAGAAATTGGACCAATTGCAGTCGACAATAAGAATACCCGACTGCGATCGCTTCAATTTTTTAAGGCTCAGGGCTAAAGTCGCCCACCGTAGACTGGGACCAATAAATAATCCAGGCATGTAAATCAAGCGGGGCAACATAACCCCAAAAGTAATGCACAATGTAAGGATCGGACGCTCACAGTTTTGAGCCGCTTGTTGAGCCAATAGTCGAACACCGCGATAATCAAATCGTCGTCCTCCTTCAAAAGTGCCTTGGCTTCGTTAAGGGTAACTACAGTTTGTCCCGAACTCTTCTCCAGACGATCCATCATCTCCTCGAACTGGAGAGGAGTCAATTCCATCTTACGGCTTTGCAGCGCAACCCACTTCTCGTCTTCCGAATCCATATCGTAGTCGGGTATGTCTTGTTCCATGGCAAAGGCTGCGGGGAGAAGGCGAATCCGTCGATTATTCGTCCCGAACGGGGGAGAAAGAAAGGCGGTAAAAAAAAAAGGTGACGCCTCAACGTCTGCCTTACGTTGCATGTGTATCAGCTGGCGAGGTAGCTTATAATCAGCAGGATATATCTTGTTATAAGCTTCCACATCTGTCAGATCGGTTACTTCAGGAGTAGGAATGATTAGACCCGTGCATATCGCTCTTTGAAGATGATGTTCCTGCGCGTGACAGAGAATCGTATCATTAAAACCAGCCTGCGATCGTCGTCGTCGCGCGCACAGCTCGGAATACAACCGTATTTACGAGAACGTATGCTCGACAAGCTTCAACTTTCAACGACAGTTGAACTTGAATCCTGCCAACAATACGATCTTAGGTTTGCCTCCTGTTCCTGCGCTGGTCGACTAGCACAATTGGACAAAGTGCATATTTTCTCGGTCCAGTTTACTGCACCAGTTCACCGGCGCAGGAGCAGAAAGAACGAACCCCGTGTTACGGCAAAAGTCATTCCAGACGGCTTGGTTTTCGACGCGTTTCGTCGGAGCGTCACGATTGTACGCAGCGATGAATTGTGTACGCGTTAAGGGAGAGCGAGTTGTTTGATCGCTACGTCAATCAATGTCCGCTCAATCTCGCCTCCAGTGTAGCACATTCTAACATGTTACATAGCGTGCGAAAAGCAGCATTAGATTCGATCGTCGATTGACACCAGGGTGCAACGAAGGGACACGGGTGTCTCGAGTGTTTCAACGCCGCGCGACGCGCTGCGCGTTTCAACGTGTAAACAGCGTCCGGTGGGACGCGCGTGACGGAGTCAACAAATCTAAGTAGCGACGCATCCAGTTTTGCGGCTCGCCCGCGGCAGGGAGTCGCGGCGTGTCGTGGCCTCCAGGTCGGAGGCTCCCGCGGCTGGAAGGCGTCGCGCGGGGCGCCGTCCGAGCGCCGAGGCGAGAAAAACGCTTGACACATTTGGGACACGGGAGGCCCAGGGTGGGCATAGGGCGGCGCGTGGGCTCGCGATTAACCGCGAAGCAGACGTTGACATCTGCCGCGGGGCGCCCGGGCGGGTGGGGGAGGGCGCGGGGAGAAGGGCCGGGAATCGCGGGCCCGCTGGTAATTGCGCTAAAACGCGGAAAATAGACAATTTTCCAGGGTGCACGACGACGGGCGGGCCGCCATCTGCCGGTTGTTTACGAAATTTTCCGCCGTGGGTAAGATGGCGGACGGGGAAAACATGCTGGAACGGAGATGCTGGACGTCCCGACTTACGCATTCCTCCTCCTTTTCCATGCCGCTGGGCATTTGGGGCACCGCGCGGTTAATGGCCGAATAATCTGGCAGATCCGGCAGCTCCTCGGCCATGTAGATCGGCATAGGCTTGGAGGCGTCCAGGGCGCGCGCCCTGAACGACAGCTTGCTCATCCTGAGGGCGGCTGGCTCGCGCGTGTTGACAACCAAGGATGGCTGGCCGCACCGTAAGAGGCCAGTCGGGTCGGCTGGGGGGGCCTCGGGCTCGCGGAACGCCGTGGACCTGGCTATTGAGGCCTGGCTGGGGGCCCTGGGGCCGAATTACCCGGCACAGAGAGCGCTCAGGGCCTCATCGTTCCCCGGCCATCGCGCTGGAACACGGTCACTCAGTCACCAAACGAGATATATCACTTTGAAAACATGTTTGCGTGACACGGTCCCTGCTCAAAGCCATCATGGCCGACGCACAGCCATTTAACACGTTCGGCCGCCGCCGTGCAGTACCGCGGGCCGACGCGCGCGGCGCTGCGGTAGCCGCGTCGCCGTCGCCGTCGCCCGCCGTTGTGACGCGGCCCCCCGCGCGCGCCGATTGGCCGCCGCGCTCCCGCGGCCCTGTGCCGCGTACACACACCGCGAGCACCCGCGAGAGCCGCGCGACGTCGGCGAGGCGCGCCGAAGAGGAAGAGGGCCGTCGCACGCGCGAATCGACGCACGGCACACGCGTCGGTGCTGTATTATTTAACAAACTCCCTCGGCGTCTTCGTCCCTCGTCCCCGTACGTTGCTCGCGTAGACTCTTGCACCCGCAGCGTCCAACGCGGGATCCTGAAATGAGAATTTACAGGTGTAGGCTGCGGTCCGCTCGACGCTTCAAATGCAGCCAAGCGTTTTTCTTCCGTTTTCTTCCAATTGAGAAAACAATAGAAAAAACGCTATCAAGCATTTGCAGCGTCGAGCGGATCGCGGACATGAATCGCGAGGCGCAGAATATCCGCAAAAAAAAAAAATTAAAGTCCCGTCCGCGCGCGTTGTCGCGATTGTACTCTGCGGTTTTTTTTTTCCGCAAGTTTAGGTTTTCAATCGCGACACAGCCGGGAAAAATGGGAATTTTTTTTTCTATCGTTACAAAGAGAAAACAGAAACGAGATGAGTTCAGGCGGAACCATTCCTGCGGCTGTCGCGCATGCGCGGCCGCCGGCGCCTGAAGTTGGCCGCGTCCGCCGTCGAGCCGCGCGCCAAATCCGAAACGAGAAGCAGCACACACTCTCTCCGACTCTCGCCGCGCGAGACTCGCCCGCTTCGATTCCGCGCTCGAGGCGAAAATCGGGGCGCGATCGTTTTGTACCCCGGGCAGCGAAATGTGAGAAACTCGCGGGTGACAGCGGGCGCGCCGAGTATCGCGCACCGAGGCGGACGCGTTCGCCGGCGGTGCGCCCGCAATTGTCCGCGCGCGGCGCCCGCTCGCCGTTCGCCGCGGAACGGCGCCAAACGCGCGACGCGACGTCACGTGTCGCCGCGAGCCTCGTCGCCGCGGCCGCCGAGCGAGGAAGGACCGAGGGCGGAAATTAAGCGGCGCGGACGCCGCGCGCTTGACTCACGTAGCCGCCCGTCGCGGAAATCGCGACGGACCGTGGCTCGCGGCGACGTCGGGTGTGCAACATGTCGCAGGCCGTCGCGATTCTATCCGCGATTCCTAGGTTATCTTACCACTTGCGCTCGCTGCTGCCGAGTCTGCGTGTCTCGGACGTGACGCCAGGTAACTGCGCCTCGCGCGCGCACGTCGCGACGCGACCGCGCCACGGCACGCGATTCCCGTGCTCGCAAAGTCGTCCCGCGTGCCGCCGATAACCCCCTCGCGACGAGCACGTGTCGAATTCCCACTGCCACTGGCGCGGCCTCCCGCCACCGCCGCGGTGGGGCGCGCGCGCCGCCGCCGCGGGAAAGTTTGACTCCGTTCGCCTTTCGGCGAGCGTGGCCTGAACGGCGGACCATTCTATTTAGATTATTATCCGCAACCGAACCCTACCGATATCATCGTCTTGTAAAATGAGAGAATACACTGTTTTTTAAATTAATATTTCGACACTAGCAGCCCTGCCACGGCTCTTAGTCATTTATTCCTTCAAATTTGTGTCTGTCACATTTGAGCCACGCGAATTTGATCAATTTTTTTAAGTCAACGTTAAAAATATTAATTTGCCAATAGTTTCGAGCGTGGTAGTTAACGAACTTTGTACCCTACATTTTACAATTATTAAAATTCTGCAAAAAGTTCTATTACTTTTGTACGTTATAGGAGTCTAAGTCTAAATTGTGCGAAAGGACCATTTTGCTAAGTCACCTTCCAAATCTTTTAGACGTAAAACTGCATCGGCGTTTGAAAAATACTCGCGATAGAAAGATAGAATTTTCAGAAATTTCACCTTTGTATGTATAGCTGAGTTTTATTGCTTGAATATCTCTCGTTCGGTGGCATTTCGCGACTTTTTTTTACCCAGCAAGGATTTTTTTAAATATAGGGCAAGCAGATACGTTGCACAAGCTTAATGCGGCAGAAATTTTGGTGGCCGATTGCGATTTATTAATACCCTACGCGAATGAATTGACGTCGGTCAAGTGGGTACAGGCGACGTGGGCCGGCTTGGACAATTTGGCTCCACTTATGCAGAACGCGCGAAAGGATTATATACTGACTCGTTTCTCCGACGAGTCATTCGGCCTGGCCATGTCCGAATACCTGATAGCCCAGATTGTGAATTACGAGCGCGATCAGAGGCAACAGTACGAGAACCAAAGGCTTGCTGCGTGGAAGCAGGAAGGCAAATTGACGAATCACAGGCTCATACGCGATCTAACCGTAGGTATCTTGGGAGTAGGAACGATAGGAAAGTCGGGTAAGTTGCAAACGAGAACTTGAATCCGACGTCAGGCAGGCGACGAAGTTATAGTTCTTCATGTTTTTTTCTCTTCTTTTCTGGTATTGTCATAGTGGCGGAAAAACTCAAGTTATTTGGGGCGACTATCTGGGGACTGACGCGTACCGTTCCGAAGGAGAAGCCGCCGTATCTCGACGAACACAGAACCGCAGATGGCTTGCCGGACATCCTGAAAAATTGCGATTACGTGATTAATATTATGCCCTCGACTCAGGACACAGTGGGGCTCCTAAACGGCAGCGTCTTGGAACACTGCAAGGGCAAGAGTGCAGTTTTCATTAACGTGGGGCGCGGTTCCGTTATCAAGGAAACGGACTTGATAAACGCCCTCGAGCAGAAGTGGATTTCCGCCGCTATTCTGGATGTGTTTGAGAAAGAGCCGCTGCCAAGAGAGAGCAAGCTGTGGGGCCTTCCACAGGTTATTGCCTTTTTTTTTTAATTATCACATACAGCTTTTTATCTACAACTTATTAATGATACTCTGATGTGCCCGTTTAGGTAACCATCTCACCTCATAACTCGGCCGTGGTGACTCCGCAAAACGTCGCTAAGCTGTTCGCTGAAAATTATGCTAGATACGTAAACGGAGAGAGCATGATAAATGTATTTGACTTTAATAAAGGCTATTAAAGAGGGGACTTGGTCGATGCTATGTTGGGGAACAAGAAGCGTACATGCAATAACTATTTATTAATGAATATATACGTACAAAATAAAGAACATGGTTTGGACATCTCGATTTGCAAAATTCCTGATACCAGAATTTAACCCTTAAATGCATCATGTTGCCATTCGGCAACATACCGATATCTAGGTGGGTAGCGTTGAATGTATGTACGGCATTGACGAAGCGTACACTGTAGTCGATTGGCTACATACCGATCGTATGTACATACCATTTCATATGTTTCTAATTTCATGATGTTGTCATTCGGCAACACACCCTTTTGTTCTTGAAAAAATAAAAAATGAAAAAGTAAAAATAAGATAGACTTTTTTCTCATTTTTCCCTTATTGTACTCCTTTTGTTGTATCATATTCAGCAATAAAATCATAAAAACAAAAATCATTTAAGGGTTAAGTCACGTACAACTAAAAATCTTAAATATCTATATAATTTTTAAAATATCGCACTGTGGTCTATCATGTTTTTACACAGTTATTTCTATCGTAATATAAAGCAAAATTCACACAAAATAAATTATATAATTTACTTATGACCGAGTACATCGAATAAATTATATAGATTCATCTAGATATTAAAAAATTAAACACTTTAAGTAATAGTGTTGTGTTCAAATATAAAGAAAGGAGATAACTTATTTTAATATTCGAAATAATTCGATTACATTAGCTCTTTACTGACTTAATAATCAAAGTATAAAAATCTAAATGAATGTTTTTTTTCTTTATACATATATGTATATGAACACCATATATCTCTCGTAGCACAACGTTGTACACATGGAGGTATATTAATGTAAAATATTATGGAAAGATATAGAAATCTACTCGGTAGGCGTCTCTTCGATAGGCGTTTCTTCAGTAGGCTGGGGAGACTGTATCAAACCACGGATGCACAAGTCATACACTACCTCTTCGATCTTTTTCACATCGTACTTGAGGGCGTCGAACCGTTTCCTCAATATATCGTTCTTCAAGTTTAACAGCCGGAAGCCTGCGTTCAGTTCATTAACGAATGTCGCGATCTGCATCGGCCAGTGGTAATGACCATTCGTGACGCTATTTACAGCGAAGCGGCTCTGGAAGAAACACCTCGTTTACGATAAACTATCGCGTGAGAAAGCTGCAAGGAATACCTACCAATTCGGCAGACAGCTGAAGCAGACCCAGTAAGAAATCCTCCAGGTCTAGATGGAAGCCGTCCTCTCTGTTGTTCTTCACTACAAGTGTAACGACAATTATTCTTAGATTATTAAGTGCAGAACAGAGATGCATCTGTAATAATTTACACAATTGAATGTAGCCATTTACATACCTCCCAGTATTTCAGCGACGGTCTTCTTGTTGACCAAGTCTTTAACTTCGAAATATATAACTAGAGCAACTAGAAAGCACAGCCTCTGGGTGACAAAACGCCACTGATCGTGATAACGATAATACTGATTAGTCGGTACCACTGCAGCCAGATTTGCGTATTCTGTCCTTATGTCGCCGAATATCTCTCTCGCCCTTGAGCAATATTCCGACACGACTGTAATTTGCAAGTGGAAACTTATTGCGTAACAGGAATATATTACAATAACGACCAGAAACTTATCACTAAAAACATTATTACTTATGTTCTCCTCCATTGTTTGATGCACCGTGTGAATATTTTGCAATGTCATCAGGATGTCCCTGGAGCTCCTCTCTATATTCTTCACGATGACACGGATATGCTGCGGCAGAGTAAAAAAATGTTACAAAGCTTTGACAACGTGTTTCACTGCGCTCTAGAGGATTCCTCAGCCATCTTTTTTTCCGTCAATGGGCTTGTTTTCTGTTCCTGCACTGGTGAACTAGTGCAGTAAGCTAGAATGAGAAAAAATATACTTGTCTTACTCCAATTTATTGCACTAGTGTGCACTAGTTTACCAGTGCAGGAACAGAAAACAAGCCCAATCTTTTGAACATGATAATCTTTTTAGGTTGTCAGTAATAAATAACAATGAATGAGTTTAGTCGACCTTAACTGACACGTGTTTAATAAATTAAAAATAAAAGAATATACAGCGCGACGTTTCGACCAAGGGTTTAGGTCCTTATCTTCTTTATCTTATGGCACCCGGCTCCTGTATCGAGCCGACACGACCACGACGAACCAATAGTCTTGACTTGATGATATAAATCTCCTAACGTGTAATCCCGTTTTTAATGTCACACAATGAAGAGGCCCAACTACCGAGCCTCGCGCGGGATGATGCAATCTCTATTGGATGATGCAATCCCGCAGGATCAAAAATTTTATCTTCCGTCGGATGACGTGTGAACCGCTCAACGGCCCAGACGGGACTTTTTTTAGGTCTTTATCAAGCACACATTCTAAAGAGTTTGGCTGTATCAGTAAAAAAAGATGGCTAAGGGACCCTCTTAAATGCGATTTAAGCTAACGGCAATGTTGCGTCTCCTCGCATCCGTTTTTTTTTTTACAGACGCGGAAAGGACCCGGCCCGAGCCTATAAAGAGGTGATCTCAACGACCGTGATGTAAATTCACGTTTAAGTAAACGCGATCGAAACCGGCTAGGTGTCGAGGACACGGAGCTGACGAATCGCCGAGTGTATCGGATCCACGCGACGCCGAGATGCAACATCGGTCGCACGACATAACCTAATCCCCGTCCTCGGGGGAACACGCGGATACACACCTCGCGCACCTCCTGCTCGTTGTTCAGAGAGTCCTGGAACGAATTGAACATCTCCATTATCGTCGGGGTCATGGTGTCTTCCATTGTTCCCGAGAAAAAGTCTCTCTCCCCGCGCAATATTGGACCGTGTTGTAAACCGCGCACCGATCAATTTTGTCGAGTGACGCCGACGCGACATCTGCGCCGAGCTCGCCGGCCACGTGATTCGCGGGCTCGCTCAGAGATGGCGGCACCGCACAGTTTCTTGTAAAGTCCCTAGATTAAAGTGACTTTAGTTTCTTGTGGGGATGGCTCTCATCCTTCTCACATGCTCTCCACCATTGTGCTCTCCATCTCTCTCTCGCATAATAAGAGGAGTGGGGAGACTAGCGACTGGCGGTAGTGATGCCGTAATTTGTTAAAAGAATCGATTTTGAGAATCGATTATTTTTTAGAGCTATGATTTTTATAATCGATTAATCGGGAAAAAAAGAATCGATTCCGATGAATCGA